CCCCCCAAATAAAGCGAGGTTGAGGTTGATATGGAGAAAGAGAAGGAGTCGAGAAAGAACCAAGAAAAGGAGAAACAAGACACGTTTGGCATGCTCAAAGCGTACCCTCATCTGCTCGAGAGCGCAGTTGGCCTCGTTAGGGTTATGTCCCCTGTATTTCTGGAGCGCTTGCCACAAGGCCCAGAGTCTGTCCGTGTTGGAGTGATGCACATAGAAGGCGGGGTCATAGGAGGCGTAGTGCAGGTGTCCCATGGAGTGCACTTTGGTGCCTCCCAGCCAAGAGTGCACGGCGTTGTGCGTAATCTCGAACTGAATCTCAAAGTCACAGTAGTCTTCTTGTTCTAGAGCCAGCAGTGCCTGGTTGAACAGCCAAGTGTCAAAGCCGTGGGGGCCTTGCTTGAACAGATAGTCACCCTGAACGTAAAGGGAAGAGTGCAGTAAAGTATCACATAGCAATGAAATAAACAAATTAATAATGGATCCCTCAATAAAATTCAAAGGGCAAGAATATTAAAACAGTCAGTGTTATAGAGTATAAAACTAAGAATGCCTAGAAACACACCGAATAGAGCAGTGTAATGTGCCGTGTCTTAAAGTCGTAAATACTCTAGAATCGTTAAGTTTGTCAAGCCGTTCTTCAGTTCGCGCTGGCAGATCAAGATGAGACGATGTATTACCTGTACATCTCTCTCGGTCGTTGTGTTCTCAAATTCAATCCTGGCCTTGTACCAGGGGTTGTCGATAGTCTGTCCGGTGTACACGTCCGTGTAGGTTGGGTTGGCCAGAAGTCCGGGTAGATGGTCAGTCTGGCGTGACCAGTCCCAGTAGGGGATGCCCACGAGAGAGCCGTGACGTCTGAGGGCATCCTCCACCTGGACAGTGTACAGACGATGCCACTGGGGGAAGGTGGCCATGCCGTGCAGACAGCACGCGTACCTGAGGAGGAGATGAGTACAGGTTGGCTAGTATATAGATGATGCTATTGGTGGTAGGTGATTATTCCCAAGTGGGGTATTAATATATAATACATGCTATCGCCCTGGTGGTACCCATCGTCCACCAAATTTACCAAATTGCCCACTGGCTGGCAAAACCGCCCAGGTTTCCAAACACAGGTATAAAGGTACCAGTATAGTGGCACAACAGTTTTTCTTTTATTTCTATTTGAAAAGAGTTATAGGGTCGAGTGTGACAATAAAGTTAAGAAATAAGATGCCAAGATCAGCTGTCAAGAAATTTGAATATTTCAAAGTATGCATGTTGTTGTCTTTCTTTTTAAGTTTCAGATAAAAAGTGCAGAATCGAAAAATCTATATGACAATGGAAGTTATGCCTCTTTTTTTTCAAAGTGTCCCAAACCAGCAAGTCTTCAAGAGTGCAAAATGCGAATCCTCAATGAGTTAACACGTCTGCGCTTACCTCTTGCTGGCGCTGGGGCTTGGGCACAGAGGGGGGATGGCATGGAACGAGGCGATGGACTGGTATCCGTCAGCGGAACTGTCGGCTTGAAGGGCAGCCATGGCTTTCAGGAGGGACAACTCCTCCTGAGGACTCAGGGCGTCGATGCTCTTTCTCACCTGATAAGAGCTCAACTGGCCGTCTGACTCCTGTCTCTCGTCTGTTAACGATGATAAAAAACGTGAAAAAAATAACTTTGCAGGCTACAGCACTTTTTGTCAAACTACATGTATTTCAACGGGGTGTAAAAATCTACATTTAAAAGAGCCTGGCTGTTAGTCTCATACTATACCTTGCGCAAACATTCTAAAGAACTGGATGCAAAGAAAACGATGATAAGTTCGTCTGTACAAACGCCCACATTTTCCTCTCTCGGTTTCTAACAGCAGTCCACTTGTAACAAACTCCCACCACTAACCATCCTGACCTCTAATGTTCCCTAATAGAATAAAGCTACAATTCTGGTGTCCCCCGTCCACAGAGACCCCTAGCCTTAGCTGTTCAACAACGACCACTTCTACCAGCAGGCTCTGTTCGTTCTGGAGCACACCAATTTCTGCGATTTTCAGATCGAGTTTGAGTTGATCCACAACGATCTGCACCCCAGCGTTCACATTTCTAAGTTTTATTTGATAGCTTTTTGGGCCCTGTACAATGTACAACCAATTAACGTAATATATAGCCTTTTCCCAATTATTAAAGGCCGCTGTTGGGCTTTCTGTTTTCAGTTGTAGTAAGAGCTATGATCTCTATCTGACTGAGCTTTGAATGGCCAACGACTTCGCCATTATCACAAGAAGCTGGCGTTTCGTTTTAGTGTAAGTTTGAGTTTAACGGCACTTGCAAAATGAATAGGTAATATAAGTGTTACAAGTAGAGAGTAACATACAAAGAATAAAAGGAGGAGAGATCAGGGTTATAGATGTTTGATAAGAAGAAGGAGCAAACCACATTAGAACACCCGCCTACCACCCACATTGTCGGTATCACGACTTACTAGATCCGGGCACGTAGAAAACAGTGGGGCTTGGAAGAATGCTGGGGCTCAAGAAGCTGCCGTTGACTGCGCGAATGTCGATCTTAAGCTCAAAGTTGGCAGCGTTGTCCAGTTTAAGTCCGAGGTCTCTCACAGCGTGCGTGATGTCATACTTGTAGAGACGGTCAAACACGAAGGGCATCTCCAGCTGTCCACCAAGGACGGAGAATACTCCGGCCTGATGATGGCGTCAGAAGAAAATGAGGTCAAATGGTGTAAGAAGAAAATGGAAAGGTAGGACAGAAGAATGTTGAAAATGATCTCACAAATATCTGAAGATGACACTGAAAGGAAATAGAAAACGTTAATCAATTATAAGCTTGTGTTAAAAAAAAATCACGAGTAGTAACATCCTGCCATATGAGGAAAAGAACCGTCTATCACACAATTCAATATATCGTGAGAAGGTATGAGGAAGACTTCATGTCAGGCCTTTTGCCTTTTCTTCTAAGTCTACCCCCCTCAACACACACACACACACACAAACACACACACCCACAGACACACACACATACACACAGACACACACACACACATTTATATGCAAATGCATAATACACACAAATACACATACATACACTCACTCACTCACTCACCCACTCACTCACTCACTCAGTCATTCACTCACTCTCTCTCTCTCTCTCTCTCTCTCTCACACAGACAGACAGACACACACACACACACACACACACACACACACACACACACACACACACACACGCATATATATGTGTGTGTATATATATATATATATATATATATATATATATATATATATATATATATATGTATATACTATTAATTATTATATACGGATTTTTATTATCCCCCCTATATATATTATTATGTAAATGAGCACCTTGTTTCCGCAGTTCTTCTTGCCCCGTGGCCCGGTAGGCACACAGATGTAGATCTCCACGTCAGCCGAGGCTCCGATGTTGTGCAGCAGGAAGCCGGCAAACACACGGCCGTTCTCCTGTCTCTGGTGCAGAAGGTTCTCCAACTGCGGGATCGTCATGTGGTTGAATGTGAGCGTATCGTACTCGTACTGGAAGTGGTTGCGGTAGTCGAACGTGTCCGCGGGACGGCTGGTGATTGGAAAAGAAAATGATGTAATAATAATTAGCATATGTTTAGCGCATGTCTCCGCCCAAAAGCAAACTTTGTGCGCTTTACGATCTGTACTATTCTGGGACAAGAAAACGGGGTAGCACATTGCAAACGGGGAGAACATTTCGAAAAAATTCATTTGGAAAAGAGACATTTTATAAGTACTTCAAACTGTAGTAACATATGACCTTATGCATTTGCAAGCGCCGTAAAGCCTTACTCAGTCTATAACTAAAACTGTAGTACACATATTTCAACAATTTCAATCAAAGAAATGTTTTAATTATACTCCTTTTGCAATATACTCCTTTTACAATATACTCCTTTTACAGGTGCTTCGTAATAATGTGATAAAAATCTAGCTCAATTCACATAGCTCAAATATGAAAAAATACAGTCATAAATGTTAACAGTAGTCACACGTAAAAATGTTAAGGAAAAAAATCCGACTTTTCTCTTCGCTTATTTCCCCCTTTTTTATTCCATGTACACACCTCCATCCAATAACAAAATCCAACTCTGAACTTTGAAAGACAGCCGATATAGAAACTGATATTTTAAAAATTCTGAAGACAATAAGGATAGAAAAAAAGAAGCTTACACCGAAAGACGTCTTATACACTTAGACGGAACGTAAAAATACGTAAGCAAAATAGAGAGAAATTAAAGAACTAAAAGTTAAGATGACTTGTGGCTTTTGCTATGGCCGATGAGACCTAATCTGGCAGAGATAAACAATTGCCACGTTTTGAGCATTCCAAAGCTCGATTTCCACTTTTAGATGTGCTCAGCTATTATCAGGTAGGCTTCTCACTATTTAGCAATAGAATGCTCATCATAAACATGCCCATTACACCTTGAGTTCTCACCTGTATCTGCTGGTGAGGTCACCGTGGTTCAACTCGTCGTTGTTGAAGGGCTGTAGGGGTTTTCTCATCAGGTTGATGGCGCAGTCAGCCTCATTGTAGGGCAGGCCTCTGTAACGCTGAAGCTCTTGCCAGATGGCCCAGATCCTGGACACAGAGGCGGGTGTACAAAAATCAAGGTTTATATAACTGAAGGAGTCAGAAAAGGTTCAAGTCACATTTAGCTAAAAACAGAGTTCTCCGTATAGCGACACACATTTAGGATGACCACACAACAGCCATTGAATGGGATTAATGGATTTCTTTAAATTTTAAATCAGATTCATAGTCTTTTTTAATTACTAAAAACTTGGTAGTATACAATGCTGAAGTCCAGATTTTTTGTGCTTTTTTGAAACGACCACACAGTGACTCATTTTTTCTGACCCCTTCAATTTTTTAATTTTCAAACATTCTCTTTGCTCAAATTACAAGTAGACGAGAGATATCAATACTATTCCAAGGAGTGAGAGATAAGGTAGGCAAGCGAAATTGGAATATCTCGCCTCTGAACTTCTTTTTTTGTTTTTCGAAAACACTGCCATAAGTACAATTGACCCATACCAAAATATTTGTTCAAGTCTAAATTATGTCAAAACAAAAACAGCAATTTGAAACCCCCGAATCGTTAGAGATATTAAAGCCGGTAGAAATAATATTCTAAGTATGGACCTATTTTTCATCCGCAGAGTATAGACACAAGACAGCCAGAGGTACCAACAGTAAAGTATTTTTTCAGATTCAGCTATCATGTGGGATGGAAGGAAGGGAGGATTAAAGGTCTTCATTATCAAACCAGTTTAACAGTGAAACACATCCACCAACACCGCAGGACACGAAGAACGTTAAGATATGAAACGTGGCCAACCCCAAGACAAAAGAAGTTATACGGGACCACACAGAATATAAGCAGGCCAGCCCAGTATATGATAGATACCGGTCTTCAAATGTGATGCGATAGAGAACAAGATGAAAGAGGAGAACGAACTGTTTATTCAAGCAAGAATACGTTGACTCACCTGTCAGTGTTTGCGTGATGCAAGAAGAAGACGGGGTCAAAAGCAGTGTAGTCGAGAGAGGAGAACGAGTACTCAGCACGTCCGCCCAGCCAGGAGTGCAGGGCGTTGTGGATCAGTTCGAACTGGATCTCGAAGTCGCAGAAGTTGGTCTGCTCCAGAGCAAACAGAGTCTGCTGGTAGAAGTGGTCGTTGTTGAACAGCTGGGCCTGGGGGTCTCTGTGGACGGGAGGACACCAGAATTGTAGCTTTATTCTATTAGGGAACATTAGAGGTCCGGGTGGTTACTGGTGGGAGTTTGTTACAAGTGGACTGCAGTTAGAAAAAAAAAAAAAAAAAAGAGAGAGAGAGAGAGAGAGAGAGAGAGAGAGAGAGAGAGAGAGAGAGAGAGAGAGAGAGAGAGAGGGAGAGAGTAAAATGATAGCTTATTTTTAATTAGGCCTGGACCTTGTAGGGAAACTAAAACGAAATTATGTCCTTTGGTTGGAAATTCATGGGGTCGAAATATCCTATCAAGCTTTCAGAGGACAATCTATACGAGACGCTCGCTTGAGACTTGGAGAGCGGTATTTATAACTCTAAAAGCCCTCTATGTGAGTTTACAGAATTGGTGATGCCTGATGATAAATGGGGCCCATAAAGTGACATCAGTTGATGGTGCTGAACCGGACTCCAGAATGTAGAGGACTATTACATTAAACGAACTTTTTTTTCGTGCGTACAAGAAACTGATCAATAGACGGTTTACACATTAGAAACGCTACAAAAGTAGAGATTTTTTTAAAGGTGAAGGTACTCCTTTTTATTTTCCCAAACCAATCAATGTAGCCCCGTAAGTGAATTCTTGTTTCATTTTGTTTGTTTTACCTATGATGTAAGGGTAACCTACCGAAGAGAAATAACAGACTACAAATATTTTTTTCCGCTATGGGTAATAGGTGTTTTTCTAGACTAATGGTGAAGTAAACTAGTGATCAAAGCACGGCAAACACACCAGAATCCAATATGAACACACATATTTAAATGTCAATCGTACCTGGTGGTCACAGCATCTTCACCCAAGACTTTGCCGCTGAAGAACGGGTTGGGCTCGAACTTTTGAGTACGTGAGTTGAAGTAGGTCGCGTCGTTGATCAGTTTGGGCAGCTCAGTGATGGGTTTGGTCCAGTCCCAGTAGGGGACAGCCACGTTGGAACCCCGGCCCAGGAGCGCCTCCTCCACCTGGACACACACAGGACAGGAAATGTCTCAGGAAACTCAAAGTTTACTTGTTAATTGTATAAAAAGGTTTCGTATAAGTAGAAATTAACGTTTATAGTATACACATACGAGGAAAGAAAATGTCACACATATCGTTACATTAGAATTACAAAGTTTTACCTGACATATTTGGCCATTTTGACTTACTAACACCATGTGTCAGAAATCAAATATTCTAACTATTCTAATAAAATATAAAATTGTTTGGAGTCGTTATCAAGATATTCAAAGAATTGCATTAAAAAACACCTTGATATGTTGTGTAACTCAAAATCTTTTAGGTTAAATTTGTCAAAACTAGGTACTTAGCAATTGTTATTTATGCGGATTTTTCAATCTGTTTTCTCTTATCTGGAACTTAAAAGACAGACAACAACACCCATACTATGAACTAGGCAATTTTTTGTTTCTGATTTATGCAAGACGGTTTGAAATGTGCTGTGCCGTTGCTTTTGGTATACTGATTGATCATGTGTCCACCGCGTCCTCAAAGATCTATGCTGCTTCTAGAGTGAGATGGATAATAACAATAACAATGATAATAATAATAATAATAATAATAATAATAATAATAATAATAATAATAATAATAATAATAATAATAATAATAATAATAATAATAATAATAAAAAAAAAAAAAATAAAAAAAATAATAATAGATAACTAACAATAATATAAAACTTTTCAAACCGACCTGCTCCACGTAGAGTCTGTGCCAAGCGGGGAAAGTAGCCATGCCGTGCACACAGCAGGCAACCTTGCGTCCGTTGAGCTCACACAGTCCAGGTTTGCCGTGGAAGGCGGCAATGTTGGCGTAGGTGTCGTCTTTCTGGATGGAGAGGAAAGCGGCTCTCAGACTTTCTACCTCGCCCTCGTTCAGAGTGGACAGGTCACGGCGCACTTGCGACGCTGTGGTCACCGCCTCGCGGTACTCTTGGCCGTACAGGTGACCTGGAAGGGCGGAAATAAACAACAGCTTTTGGGAACTTATATCAGAGGGAATGGCGAGTTTTTGAAAGGTAGAAATATCCCTTTGATAGTTTGTTACATTACAGGAAAGAAATCATCATCAAAATCTATTTGTCTCTATATTTTTTGAAGCGTAATAATTACTGCCATGTTGACACACTTTCTTCGTAAATTACAAATATCTTGAATTAGATCAGAACGCGGGACAAGGAAAAAAATTACCAAAACCAAAAAGAAAAAAAACCCCACTCAACGTGTCAATGATGCATACCACGACAAAAAAAACCTTTAGGCCTAAATAATTATACAAAGACATCCAAAAGTCACAAGTTCTGAAGGATGATAATTCACGTACTGGTTCCCATTTCGAAGACAACTGTAGGAGTGGGGAAGAGCTGGCCAATATCATTTCCATGCAGGTCCAAAATCTCGTATCTGATGCTATAGCGGTCGTAGTGCTTGAGCCCCAGGGCTTTCAAGGCGTCGGTGATCTCGTACTTGTACAGCCTGTCATAAGACCAGGCCATTTCGTTGACGTCACCAAGGACGTAGAACTCTCCAGCATAGTTGTTGCAGTCATCGCCCCTGAGGAAAAGACAATGTCATTCCACACTCGATCCAGTCAGTTTCTCGGGGGTTTCCACATAAAGCTGTCATTCAAATAAAGACTTAGAAGGGCGTCTGAGTTTCGTTTTATTTCGTATAACGAACGCCCAAGTCATGGTTCTGATTTGAACCCTCTCTTGGTCTACAATTCCATCACAACTTAAAAATAAGACAAACGTGCTTGTTGAATGGCTTTGAAGCATTTGACACATTTGAGATTTCCTTCATGGAGGGACAAAGACTACCATTTGGGAACAATAAGATAAAATCCTAAACAATCAAACATATTTGATTTTCTTAGTGACAATCTGATACTATTGATGAGTTTGATGAATACAACCAACCAGAAGGCTGCGACGTATTGCAGAGTCAGATAATTTATTTGCGCCTGCTATTCAATATGCTGAAATAGACTTCTCAGTCAAATATAATGAAAACGAAGCAAACAAGAGCTCAGCTGGATACAGTGGGTACTAATATTAACCAACTCGTTCTCAAATGTATTACATGGACAATCTTCACTGGGGAATAAGCCAACAACGGAAATCCTCTCCAATGGAAATACGCTACCAAAGAATGATGAGAGAGAAAGAGAGAGAGAGAGAGAGAGAGAGAGAGAGAGAGAGAGAGAGAGAGAGAGAGAGAGAGAGAGAGAGAGAGAGAGAGAGAGAGAGAGAGAGAAAGAGTGGGTGGGGGAAGGACAAAGAGACTCACTTGCAGATATAGAACTTGATCAGTGCTGACTGTTGGATGCCGTGCAGCATGAACCCAGCAAACACGCGATCTTCGGCTTTGTTCTGTTCCAGGACACGTGCCAGTTGTGGTACAGTCAGGCCGTTGAACTCCAGGTTGTCGTAATCGTAGTGGAAGCTGCTGCGGTAGTCGAACGCCTAACAGGAAACCGTCAAAAATTTAATTTCGCAACTTAATACCTTGGAGGGGGTCTTTTTCACTTTCATTATTTATCTCATGACATTTTCCATTCTTCGCTCCAAGTAAGTTGCCCACCCACTTGGCTTTGTTTTATCAGAGATGGACGTTAAATTCGAAGGTCCCACCTCTTAAATAACCTTACAGTGTTCAAGGGAGCGTCACACTTTTCAACAGCTACAACATTCCCCAGATGGCTACGAACAGTTACGTCTTGTCATGTTCAATTCCCAGGCCAAGGGCTAGAACTCAGAGGGCCCCTTGATCGGAAAAGTTTTAAAATAAAGTAAGTCGCACTCTACGCTTAATACCCTTTTCCAGATCATTAGTTTGTAAGAAATGAAAGTGTGTCTTGTAACACTGATGCCTCTCGCCACATGAAGAAAAATCACGCAAGGTATTTTACGTAGACCAAGGACCAATAAAACATTGATTCCTGGACTTTCTAGATATTTTCCGCAACTCCTATTTAATTTCACCCCGAATCATCCCCCCCCCCTTCCTCTCATATAATTATAATTAATTGATTGGCAGGTTCAGTTGTATTCATATTTTCATACCTGGAACGGAATGGAGTGCTCCCGGGTCACAGGGTCAGGGTTGATATCAGAGGTCAAGCTGAATGGTGACAGCGGGTTGCGGAGTTGTCCAATAGCGCAGTTGGCGGTGTTGTAAGGTTTGCCACGGTATTTTTGGAGAGCCTATGAGTGGGGGAAAGAAGTATCATCAGGACCAACATTCCAGTGACATTCAAATTATTGTAAGGTGTGCGGCAATATTTTTGAACATGCAAAAGAAGGAAGTATATTCAATAATTTATTTCCATAAATAGTCATTTAGAGTAAGTGTGTCTCCCAAAGTCCACTCTCGTGGGTGCTCTCGTTTGCAATGGTAATGCAAGCAGTGTGCCTATAACGTAGGTAAAGGATCTCCTTCCATGACTGGCCAAAAGTTAATATACGGAAGACGCGCGTTCGATAACGCTTGAAGACGCAATATTTTGGTCACTTTAAATAGATAAGTAAAACTTCTTTACTAATACATGTACATATTTCTCAATTATGTTTTCTTTTCTTTTTTTTTAACTAAAAAAAAGCAGGCTACAACATGCATACATGCACTATGATTTATGTAAACTCGTGTTCCTGATTTATGCATGGCAGTTCGAAATGTACCACGTCATTCACTTTGCCTGCTGCTGATCGGATATGTGTCTTCCCCGTCCTTAATGACGACCCACGTCAGGACTATATAACATTTAAATGACACGACTGGATGGTTACGGTCTTTATACATTAAATTTGCATAACTCGGATGTATTATCATAGTTCAGTTCAGTAAAGCTTAAAATGTTTTCATTGAAACGCCCTAAGGTAACAAGGACCCTTTATTTTTCTGATCGTTTTTATCGTTTAAGTATTCAATAGTCACTTTCCTTAAAAAAGAAAACACCAACTTTAAAGCACACTGACCTGCCAGATGGCCCAGAGCCTGTCTGTGTTGGAATGGTGCAGGAAAAAGATGGGGTCAAAGGCCGTGTACTGAAGTGAGGCCATGGAGAACTGCTCGCTGCCGCCCACCAGGGCGTGGATAAAGTTGTGAGCAATCTCGTACTGGACCTCAAACGTGCAGAAGTCGTCTTGTTCAAGCGCAAGCAGCACCTGGGAATAATGGAAAGGTGTAGGAGGTTTAGTCATCGTAAAAGTAAAGCCGACTTTCATCTAAATCAGTGTTTGTCAATCTTTTTATTGACAGCGCCCACTTTTGCTGCCTTTAAGAGGCTACCTAACTGGTGTCTGTGGGGCAGGGGTTAGGGGCTCTGCCGTCACATGCAGAAGCCCCAAGTTCCATTCGGGTGTGCGTTAATTTTTATCGGTGATCTCGGTTTTCTGCTGGGATGTTGTATCCCCCTCAGCCCGGGTTGGTCCAGACAGGCTTGATCAAAGCTCGCCCCTTCTTAGATAATCGAAATGGTGTCGACTGGAGTGTAAAAAAAGCACCCAAAATAAAAAAAAAAGAAAAGAAAAAGAGATGCCTACCTGTTTGGCAATATCTGTGTAGTCTCCAAAGTTGGGCTGCTGGTACAGGTCATCTCTGACGGACCTCACCGTGTACTGGTCTACGTCATCAATATGTCCACTGAGTGAACGAACGAAAGAAAAAAATAAACATGAAATAAGACAAAAATTGCATTATGCGCCTTGGAATTTCTTTATTTTTACAACATACACGGCACAAAACATAGTTTCCGAATATGACGCAGAACTTGTAAGTTACAATCAAAATATCTCAGAAACTGGTTCAGCAATAATAGTTAAATAGTTTCTAAATACTTTGCGTCGAGATATGTCCACGCTCAAATCAAAGAGCTACGCTGCAGTGACCACGTAGATCTACTTGCCTCTGGCAGCATACTGTAAATTAAGGGTCTCAAACTCGCTGCCTGGGAGGCAATTGCAGCTCCTTGGCATCAAAGATTATTGTTAGTGCGGCCCTCCCTCATGCCAAATATGGAAGCACTGCCAGGTCTCCGTGAACAAGGAATAGATAAGAAAATCGTTTGCTCTGATGAAAAGTTAATTTAATGAATCGAAACCCATTCCTATCAATAAAAAATAAAGACTAAAATGTAAAAAATAAAAAACCTTGGAAACATTATTGTTTGTTGAATGCTTAGTACAAGTAATTCTCACCTAGAGTCTACTTTCATCGCCCCCCTCCCCCAGGTAATTCGAGTTTGAGTCCCTTGCTATAAATGGACGTAGCTATTGCCATAGTAACTAACATTTCGTAGGCCAAAAATAACATGTATTGATTTTCTTTTCATACTTCCATGCGAGGTTTTTACAAAACATTTAGTGAGGCACTTGTTCAAAACCTTCTATGGCCGGAGCGACTCGGTGAATGGTTACCTGTAGAACGGGTTCCTGGTCTCCTTTCCGTTGCTTGGATCGACGTAGAGGGCGTCGTCGACAAGACTAGGAAGTGACGTCATAGGTCGAGTCCAGTCCCAGTAGGGCAGGGCTCCTGTGTAACCATGGCGACGCAGGGCGTTTTCAGTCTGTACCGCGAGAAGTCTGATGAAAAAAGGATCGACTTGTAGTGTTTTGCTCAAACTTTTCCCCACGTAACACCCCCCCCCCCTCTTCCTTTGCACAAACAAACAGACACAATAAAAAGCTTAAACCCGTCCCCCGAAACAAAAAAACAAAAACAACTGAAAACCTGAAACAAAACAAAACAAAAAAAGGGAGGAGAGGGGTAGGAGAGGAAAAAAGGTTAATCCATTGACAGCAAATAGATTACAAAACAGGAGCATAGAAAGCTAGAAATAAAATACGAAGTTACTGACTTAAACAAAAATTAGGCCATCACCCAAAGTTTGCTGAAGATGGAGTGACGTGGAGAGCAGTGGCTTCTTTACAAAAAGGAACTGTGGCAGAATTGTATCCAAACTCTTTTTTAAAGAGTGTTGTAGGTGGAGTAGCAAAAAAGCCTCAAAATTTGTTCCGTACCTGTGCCAGTGAGGGAATACAGGCATTCCATGAACACAGCACGCGACCTTCTTCTCAGCATCAGGGGCTGGGCACCATTTAGGAGTTCCGTGATATCTGCCGAGATCTTGAAAACCTCCCGCGGATTTGTCCTCCTGGAGATTCGCCAAAGCGCGACGGAGTTCCACGACTTCTTCGGCGTTAAGGTCGTTCACGTTTTTCCGAACGATGATATCATCAGTACTGGATGCAGCATCATCTAAAAGGAAAATGTCAGGTTATAAAGGTTCATTCGTTTCAAAATGTCTTGTTCAATTTGTTTTGAACTTTGACACACCATGTCTTCATAATTACATTTTAAGGTTCCAAAGTTTTGACCTGCATGCGTGAAACCCTATTTGATTTACTTGCATTTAGAAGCGGGCATTTCTATTTGCAGACAGCCTGATATGTATATGTAACTTGATTTGGACATACAATAAATCCCTTACCTTGCTTGTTCTTATGAATGAGCTGCACTCTGGGGAACTCGCTCACGTCGACCGGCGTGCCGTCGAACTCGTGCATCTCAATGCTCACCTCAAAGGGCGAGGACCAGTGAAGACCCAGAGCGGACATGGCGTCGGTGATGTCGTGTCTGTGGGTGGTACGACCAACGTTAAGATTGTAGTTACGGCAAGCATAATACTATGAATTGCTGATAATGTCTTCTCTTTAAACATTTTGCAGTGTCATTATGTCGCTTTGTCGTAATGAGTGACATGGAGAGAGAGAGAGAGAGAGAGAGAGAGAGAGAGAGAGAGAGAGAGAGAGAGAGAGAGAGAGAGAGAGAGAGAGAGAGAGAGAGAGAGAGAGAGAGAGAGGGGGGGGGGGAGCACGGGAAAGAATAGTGAGTTGAAACTTTCCAATTTAGATTTTGACATTGCAGGTTTCAGATTTGAAAACCAACGTGGAATAAAAGATGAAGCCAGTACATTGTACAGTATCCTTGAGCCACATCAGTAAGTGGTGCTTACAATAACATGCTCATAAAGAATTGCAAACTTAATTAGTTTACCTGTAGAGACGGTCAAATCCCCAGGCCATCTCACTGGGTCCTCCCAACAGGGCACCCTGACCAGCATTGTATTTCTCCTTTCCAGGGGCGTTCACGAACACGGTGGCGATTGCTGGAAAGAAATATAATATGTGTTCTGTTTTGGGAAACTACTCGGGAGAGAAAGAAAGAACGAAAGAGAGAAAGAGAGAGAGAGAGAGAGAGAGAGAGAGAAAGAGAGAGAGAGAAAGAGAGAAGGAGAGAGAGAGAGAGAGAGAGAGAGAGAGAGAGAGAGAGAGAGAGAGAGAGGGAGAGAGAGAGAAAGAGAGAAAGAGAGATAGAGAGAAAGAGAGAAGCAGGGAGACAGAGAAAAAGACAATGACAATGACAATCTTTATTCATCTCACAGGGAGAAATTTGTCTTGGTCGTTAACAATGGCAGTAGACGTTACAAAAGTTAGACCTAAAGGTGCACCCACGCAAACGCACAACAAGACAGGCCAATAGGTTTAGTAAATACGCTCCGTAAAACATGTTTTCTCTCTCTCTCTCTCTCTCTCTCTCTCTCTCTCTCTCTCTCTCTCTCTCTCTCTCTCTCTCTCTCTCTCTGTTTCATTTATAGCACTGTGTGTTCAGTAACCTCACTGTAGTTGGTTCGAATGAATTTCTATATCTGTCTGTTCTTGCTTTTTTGGACGGGGAGAGAGAAAGAAGAATAGATTGATAGGCATAATACAGTTAGATAGATAGATAGATAAATAGATAGATAGATAGATAGATAGATAGATAGATAGATAGATAGATAGATAGATAATATATTCTTCTTTTGAGTCTGTATGCCATTCATCCCTGATTGTTTCCGCCGGCATGGTCCAAGCCCACATTCTGAATGTTCTAAATTATGTCGTAAAAACACCGACATTAAAATCCTTCTGTTGGGAAGGAACTGCCTTTAAATTCTCGGATTCGATTTGGAATGTCAGATGTCAACGCTCAATAACTAACACAAGCAAACGACAATATTGCAACTACAAGCAGCAGCATCACGACTACAGCAACATCAACAGAAACAGCTACTGTATCACTACCAAAATCATTAACACAACCATCAGCACGACCAAAAACAATCAACAACAGCCAACAACAAGAAGGTTAGGAACATTAACGAAAATATCAACGTTCTCTCACCAGATTTCTTGATACCGTGCAGGAGAATACCAACAAAAGTCCTAGATTTTCCCTTCAGGTTCTCGTTAATGTAACTGTCCAGCTCGGCAATGCCCATGCCTCCATAGTGCAGGCTGTCATAGGCGTATCCCAGCTCTTTCTCATAGTCGTACACGTTGGTGGGTACGGAGTGAGAGAAAGTCTTCTCGTTGTTGTTCAGAGGTGAAGAGAACGCGAAGGGTTTCATCGGCTGGTGCACATAGGACTGCGCGCAATGAGCCTTGTATGGTTTGCCCCTGAAATGGTTTCACATCAGATATTTTAGATCGCACTGCTTGGTAGTTTATTAGAGATCACATCGTTTAATTCATTCTAAATTCACATTAAGCAATGTTTGTTTTTAGATTATAGAAATACATCAGATTTTTTAGTCAGAACAAAATGTACCGTTTTTGCGTGCTACTTGAATTTTAAAAGGGTTCAGAACCTGTGTATTTTAATCGTGGTTGAGCGCTGTATAAATGTCAAATAAATTAATATAACTATTACAACTTAAAATCATTTGAGAAGCCAATACATTATATTGAGGCTAAAGAGAGAGTTTTGTTTAATGATGGAATTTTTAATGATTTTTTTTACTGATGGTAAAAGTTCCTATGTAACTGCTTAGCGATCTTCAAAAGACACCTATTGCAGGAGCAGAGCCTGAGGTGTCCAGACAAAGTCATTTAGTCGACGTCAATTGATTTTGATTTACAATCCTATTACGTAAGTTCTACAAAACTTTGTTTTTTTGACAATGGCTGTCTACCGACAGCAAGCCTCTACTTACAGTTTCGTTAAGTCGCACACCCTTTAAAATGTTTACTTCGGGGGGTGGGGGGTGGGGGTGAAAGTGCAATGTATTTTTACCGACCTGTGTTGCTGCAGAGCTGTCCAGATGGCCCAGATTCTGTCCACATTGCTGTGGTGCAGGAAGAAGATGGGGTCATAAGCGCTGTAGGAGAGAGAAGCGAGGCCGAACGGGGCGTTTCCTCCTACTAGAGCGTGGATCATGTTGTGGGCTACTTCAAACTGGACCTGTTGGAACCATGGATATACAGAATTTATGATAACAAGAATAACAACAACAGCAGTATGCCCCCACCCTCCTTGACTTAAAATCCGAAGGATTTCTGGGGAGCAAGCCCCCCCCCCCCTTTCAGTTCTTCGGCTCATGATGTGATGTCTCGTAATTAGTTTTGAAATTTTCTTAGAAATAAATAATTTGCGAAGCTTTTAGTGAAGCTTTCTGCAATCACAAATACGACGGTTCGCCCCCCCCCCCCCCACCAACAACAACCCACAACAAAACACACAACAACAAAAACCCCAAACAAACACAACAAACCCAATACACCTGCTTGCGAGAGCAAAAGCAAAAAAAAATGACTGAGAGTTATCATTTGAAAGACAAAAGACCAGGCAAATAGACAAACCTCAAAGTCGCAGAAGTTGTCTTGCTCCAGAGCCAGTAGGTAGGCATCAAAGAGATCAGTGTGGTCACCGAACGTTGGGGTTTGTGTCAAACCCTCCAGAACATCACGTGACGTCACGACTCCGTTGCCGAGGAAGGCGATTTGGGCGTTGTAGAACGGGTTGTGCACTGATTCACCACTATCGAAAGATACAAAGTTTGAAAACTGTATTTACAAATGGAAAGAAGGCCAGATACAGATTTTACCCCCGATTCTGTTCTACTTTACATCGCTTTAATTAACCCCCCCCCCCCCCCACTAGTCAGACAGACTGTCTGACAGAGGACAAAATGATTAAAATAAAATGATGATTTTACGGTGGGTTTCCC